GGTTACTAGTTATATCTTTAAACTCCCACTATTTATTAATTTTTAGAATTCTGAAGATGTGAATTCTGTGCCGTTGTCGCTCCGTACGATCTGCGATATGCCAATTCAGGAAAAGATCATATTTAGTTTCTTTATCACTGTTTGCAATTGGATGTTATGTAATACTTCGACTTCCAAATAACGACTATGGTCAACCGCTATTATAAAATCCTGATTATTCTTGTGAAATAAATCAGTTCCTATGATTTGAAATGGATGATTTGGCATTTCACTTGATATCATTAATTTCTTTGTTAGTTTTTTGAGTATTCTTCTATTAACTCTTTTTCTTCTTTTCCTTCAATCCATTTTACTTTGTTTAGAGTAGATTCTTTTTGCTGTCAACACTTAAGTTTGTTTGTGTTTACAGTTTTTACTTCATTTATTAGTTTGATACCTTGCAAATCTTAAAAAGTTTTTAAACTATGAAGGAGTTTGCTTGTTGTTTCTACTACATAAAATTTAACCACCTTTTAACATTTTTTGTAGTGACACAACATCTTTGATGTTCCAAGTACTGGAACATAATTCCCTTCATGACCACGCAGTTTAATAATAGTATAAGTGAGGTCATCACGTAATTTCAGTTGGTCGTAGACTCTTTTTGGCATAACATCAACTTACACACAACATTACAGTTGGTGACTTTTATGCTCATTACATTGAATGCCTTGGCTCTAATGTCAGTGACTCTGCAGGTGTTAAGGCCAACAACTTTTGTATTTCTCAATCTCTAACACAAATAGTCAACTTTCCAACTCGTTTTCCATAAAATCCGAATCATTTATCTTCTTTACTCAGCTTATGTCTTGTTTCTGATCTAAGTCAGTGTTCAGTTTCTCCACATTCACCTTTAGGTGCTTTTAGTTAAGGTTTGATCTCTCTAAAACTATTATCTCATTCTTCTTCATCATCAGAATTTCCTACCATCTATATTGTTTATATATATTGTACCTCTTACAACTACCTTAAAGCTGACTTGAAATCTTACCGTGATTTTCTTCGCTAAGGTCCTCGAGTAAAAATCTTTCGTCTTACTGTTGAAAAATTTGCTTCTTATGTAACTTCTTTTATTCAGGCTGGCATAAAATATTTTTTTCCTTCCCAAGAGTTCCAAGTCAAGTCCCACTCTTCTCCGTGATTTTTCTCGCATTGTGATTTTTCTCCGTAATTTTTCTCGCATTGCTGATGCAATTTCCAATCAAAACCATCACTTCTATACCTATTGCAAAACAATTCTCTAGAAAACAGAAATTGTCTGTTTATAATTGCTTGATACTATTGTAAAAATCTTTTGAATAATGCCAAACCCGCTATTCTCAAGTCACAAAATTTTTTATTTCATCTCTATAGTGTCTATAACAAAGGAAATCCGTTATTCTGCCTCTATTGCATGGTTTAGATTTTGTTATCTCACCTAAAGATAAAACTGAGTTGTTTACTAAGAACTTTTTATCAATCTTATCTCCTGATTCCTTTAATTACAATTTACCTGATATAGCCAACAAACAAGTTGATCCGTTACTTGACATTTCGTATCTGTACCTAAAGTGATTCCATGCTTAGACAGGTGTGATATCCAAAACTTGTGGCCTGGATATTACACCTGTTATACTTTTGCAGAAGTATTTTCTAGAGCTGTCGTCTATACTTTAAAAACTATTTAATGAGTGCCTATTGTTCGCTGATGATACTACCATTTGTTTTTGTCTTGATAAGCAGCCAACACTCTCTGATTGCTTGGAGCATTTGAGCTTGAAAAAATCTCACTTTTGCTACAGCAAGGGGCTCCCAATGGCTGGCAAACTTTAAATCAGATAAAGTTCAATTTTTCAGCTAATAGTTATTGCAACAATTTATATTTATGAACGGTAACCCTATATTTATTTATAAATATAGGACTAACGGTATATCTTGTATTTATGAATGGTAATGTACTTGATGAGTAATCTAACATTCGTCTTGTAGGATTAACTCTTACTTTTGATTTTTCTTGGGAATCATTTATCAAATCCATTGAAAAATTAGCATCTGCTAAAGTTGCATCTCCTTATTGTGTTCACCACTTTCTTACTCCGGATTCTATTCTTTATCTCTATAAATCTTAAATCCATCCATATACGGATATTGTTGCTATATCTGTAGTGGATCTTCGAATAACGTCCTATCTATTTTAGAAAAGGTGCAAAAACGCATTGTAAACATAGTTGGGTTGCTCTTGCAGCTAACCTTTAACCAATGTCACGCTGTAATCTTATTTCTTTTTCTCTTTTCTACAAATACTATAATGGTCATTGCTCTAAAAAAAGCTAGCGTCTCTTGTGCCATTTGCTAAAGTTTATTCTCATGTTACTCGTCATTCAATTAAGTCCCATCTTTTTACTGTGATTGTTCCTTAGTACTCCAAAAGTTCTTTTTCTTCTAGTTTTTTTCCTTGAATTACAGTGCATTGGAATTCGCTTCCTTTTTCTTGTTTTCCTGATTTATATAATTTGCAATCTTTTATGTCGTTTGTTATTCGTTATGTTGCTTTATAAACTTCAATTTTTCTATTCCACTAAATTCCAACTCTAATTGTGGTTACTTACAACGTTGTTGGAAGTAAAGATTTAGAAGAAGGAAAATCAAGTCAGGACTTGGACTTGGACTATGGACTTCATGATCACCCTGATATTGGTAACATGTAACCCAGTGCAACCTGTTTTATGTTCTGCTACCTTTCGGGACTCGCTCTCTAAGCAAAGGCTGGAAGGAGATTGCTTTCATACACCAATACTATTTAAAATTGGCCTGTAATATATACATATATATATTAATTTTTTTATTTTAATTTTAATTTTATTTTTTTTTATTTTTATTTTTTTATTTTTTTTGTGTTTATGTGATTTTAATGCTCATCACACTGAAAATGGCTTGACTTTAATGCCACTAAACCTGCTGAAACTACTACCTACTTCTGCATTTTTCAATCTCTTCAGATCATTTCAGATATTTAATTGTGTGACTCATTTTCCTGAAAACCCTAATCAGTTACCTTCACTCCTTGATTTATTTCTGGTCTCTGATTCTAGCTTGTGATCAGTTTCTCCTTTTTCTCCCTTAGGTGGTTCTGACCATGCAATGATCTCTTCAATTCTTTCATCTTGTACTTTATTTTTGGACTCAATCTATCATTGCACTACTTACTACTACTACCCTAAAGCTGACTGAGACTCTTTTTGTAACTTTCTTCGTGACGGTCCTTGGACTGATGTCTTTTCCCTCTCAGCTGAAAAATGCGCCTTCTATATAATTTCCTGGATTCAGGTAAGAATGGATGCTTTTTTTTTCCTTCTCGTTGGTTCAAAGTCAAGCTTTATTCTACTCCATGGTTTTCACTTTCTTGTGCAGCGGCTATATCCAATCATAATCATTTTTTTTTCATCTATTTCAAAAGAAAAACTTTTTTGAGAACAAATAGCTACTTATTATTGCATGATTGATGTAAAAAGGTGCTTTCAGATGCTAAGCTCCACTATTTTCAGTTCATCTTATCTCAGAAGTTAGGTACTAGAGATTTTTGGAAAATCTTCAACAGCCTCATTAACAAAGATGAGTCTAACATTCTGTCTCTAATTCGTGGACTGATCTTATTACCTCTCTCAAGGATAAGATAGAACTGTTTGCAAAGAACTTTTCTTCTAATTTGACTCTCAAATCTTATGGATATTCCCTTCTTTCCATTTCAATTAAACAGGTTAACCCATTGTTAGACATTCAAATCACTCCAGCTTCCATTGCTAAATTCATATCTCGATTATTCTCTTCTACGGTTTGTGGTCCAGACAACATTCCTGTCACAGTCTTACAAAATTGTTCTCGAGAACTCTCTTTAATTTTCTCTAAGCTATTTAATAAGTGCTTGGCAGTTTTTTTTGAGTCTTGTTTTCCTACCTGCTGGAAAATAGTATCTGTTGTTCCAATTTTCAAAAACTCTGCTTAATTTTCTGACCCTTACAATCATTGTTCAATTAGTCTCCTTTCTGTTATTAGCAAGGTCTTTGAGTCTTTTATAAACAATTTTTTTTCAAATTTCACATCTCATTTTAAGTCAAATAACTTGCTGTCAGACAATTAATACTGTTTTCGATCCTCTTGCTCTACAGCTGACTTGCTCACTGCTGTGACTGAAAGATTTTATTGTGCGACGGAGAGGCTAAGGTTATTGTTCTTGACATATCTAAGACTTTCGACAGAGTTTAGCATGTTGGTTTTCTCCATAAGCTTGTTTTATATAATATATCTGGAAAAGTTTTTGAGATTATCTAATAATTTCTTTCTAACCGCTTTATTTAAGTTATCTTCAAAGGCCAACATTCTTCTTCATTTAACATCTCAACTTCTCATTATCAACATCTTCTTCATTCTTGTTTATTTCCAGTAACTTCTGGGGTACCTCAAGGTTCTATATTTGGTCCTATTTTGTTTCTTATCTAAATTAATAATCTTCCCGACAAAATTACATCTAAAGTAGCTCTTTTTGCTGATGACTCAATTTTATACTCCTGTGGTTGACAAAAAGTCTTCCCTTTTCAATTGCTTAGAACAGGTAGCCGATCTTGAATCTGATCTCACTTCTGTAACTGATTAGGGCGCACTGTGGCTTGTAAATTTTAACTCCAAAAAAATTCAGTTATTTACTGCAAACAACTATTGCAGTACTGTTGACATTCCTATTTTGATGAATGGAAACCCTCTCACTGAGTCCTCTTCTTTACGTCTTCTTCGATTATCATTTACTACTGACCTTTCGTGGAAACCATATATACAATCGATTGGTAAATTAGCATTTGCTGAGGCTGCACTCTCAAAAATAATGTAGACAAATTTATCTACAAATTATGTAGACACGGATAAATCTACAGTTTTGTAGCATTTAGTTTAGTGACGCGTTGAGTGAAGTCTAAAAAACTAAAACTATATGCTAAAAAAACGGAAGATTTATTTGCGTCTACATAAATTGTAGATAAATTTGGCACATTATTTGCGTTGACCGCCATAACTTAGGTAAAGTTACATATCAGTCCAGTAATGGCGCATGGCTGATTTCATCCATAAACTTTATGGGTTTAAATTTATTATACCTTCTTAAGCAATCTGTAAAAACAAAATTGCTACTTTTTAAATAAAACATCATTTTTAAATAGTTGCTACTTTTTAAATAAAACATCGTACTAACGTATTATACATCATGTATATTTGCTTCGTATGTAGATCGGTAATAAACGACATAGATCAATTTATTAAGCATATAAAAGGGCATGAAATTACTGGTTCATTGAAACTCCCGTTTCGTTGTATGCAAATGCAATGCAGTAGCACGTTTTCAACACTATATAATTTATGCAGACATTTGAAATCATATCACCTAAATACTTTTGAAAGCAATGTAAGTTGTCTTGTTGAAAACTTTACAGAAAGCACTGGTACTCTTGAAAGCAATGGAAGTGGTTGTGTTGAAAACTTTACAGAAATTAATAATAACTTTGATTTCGATAATACAATTAGTGATGAAAACGATTTGGATGAAACTATTGACAATGACAATTGTTTGGATATTACTAATAATAGTATAAATGAATTGTACAATCAACAACCAAGTAATGAAGAAAACTATGCAGTTGCTATTGCAATGGTTGCAGAACTCAGAGCTAATAGTAGCATACCATTCTGTGTTGTGCCTGATATTATTTCTTCATTTAATGTCATGACCAACTGTTCTCTTTCAGATTTATCCAAAAAAATATGTTTAACCATTCAGGAAACAAAAGGCATTTCTAAAACAAGCAAACAAATACTTCTCAATAAATTGATGCCAATTTTAGATAATGCTAGGTCTCCCTTAGAGTTCATTAAAACAAGATATCAGCAAGATTCTTTTTTTGAAAAACATCAACTTTATGTAAAACCTGAATCTGTTTTATTTGGGCAAAGGTTTGAGTGCCATAATAGTAAAGATAGATTGGTGTATGATTCCTTTCAATATGTTTCTGTTGAAGCCACCTTACGATCATTGTTGTTGGATAATGATTTTTGTTCACTCCTTTTTAAAGTTCATACACAAAGTTTTGATTTAGCTGAGTTTTATGATGGTAATTTGTATGCATCCCATTCATTATTTGCTGATAAGAATAAAAAGTCTGTTATGATTCAGTTATTTTACGATGGCATGGGAACAACAAATCCACTACGTGGACAATCTACTTTATGCAACATAGGAGTGTTCTATTATACTTTTAAAAACTTACCAAATAATTTAAATTCATGTTTTTCTAATGTTCATTTGTTGGCTTTGTGCTACTCTGAAGATTTAAAATATTATGGATTTGATCCTGTTTTAAATAAATTTAAAGCTGAGATAACAAAACTTCAAAATATTGGTTTCAATTGGGTATTTCCAATATTAGGTAGGTAAACTGTGAATGTTTTTGTATTTTTCTCACATAAATACAACACTAAATTGAGATAAATTAGTATATAATCACAATTATAATGTGTGTATATATATATATATATATATATATATATATATATATATATATATATATATATATATATATATATATATATATATATATATATATATATATATATATATATATATATATATATATATATATATATATATATATATATATATATATATATATATATATATATATGAATATATATAAATGATATTGCATACTTGAGTGAGCTCTATGACGCTATACTGATTTAGGGGTAGGCGAGGGTATTATATGTATATATATATATATATATATATATATATATATATATATATATATATATATATATATATATATATATATATATATATATATATATATATATATGTGTGTGTGTATATATATATATATATCTTTATTTGTATTGTATTAACTTTTTTATGTAGTTTTATATTAGGTCTATACTATTATTCTTATAATATTTTAGGCGAGCAAACTATTTATGTTGGTTTATGTCAAGTTGCGTGCGATAATTTAGCTTTAAATGGAATTTTTGGGTTTATTGAATGTTTTTCAGCAAATTATTTTTGCTCTATGTGCTATGCAAAACAAAGTGAAATTCAGAATTTATTTACTGAAGATAAATTTATTTTAAGAACTGTTAAGACACATCAGCAGGATGTTCAAAATTTGATGCAAATGGAGAATGCTGGAGTTAACCATGTAAGAGGAGTTAAGAAAGATTCTGTTTTAAATAAAATTCCAGACTTTCATATTACTAATAACTTTGCAATTGATCCTATGCATACAATTTTAGAAGGACTAATTCCTATTAACCTTGCAGCCATTCTTACAAAAATTTGTAAAGAAAAAAAGATTTTTACTATTGACATATTAAATAAAAGAATGTCGTATATCTTTAGTATGGTAAGTACTGACAAACGAAATAAACCTCCTGCAATATTCAAAATTGAAGAAAAAAAATTACATCCTTCAATGAAAGCAATGCAAATGTGGGCATTTTTTCGTTTTTTACCACTAGCTGTTGGCGATTTGGTAAATGAAGATGACAAACACTGGAGTTTTTTCATTCAACTTTGTAATTTAGTTGATATTTTATTAGCTCCTAAGTTTACGTACGGCATGATTACATTGCTTCGTGATCTCATTGAAGAACATTTACAATCTTTTAAGGAACTTTTTCCAGATTTAAAACTGCGACCAAAGCAACATTTTTTGGTTCATTATCCAACTATTATTTTTCAAAGTGGCCCTTTGATAGGAATGAGTTGCTTACGATATGAGCTTAAAAATTCATTTTTCAAACGATCGGCTCATATTGTTTGTAATTTTACAAACATTTGCTATACACTTGCTTACAGGCATCAATATATTTCTTTACTTGCTAAATTGACTAAGCAACACAGTAGAGGAATATCTTTAGTATCAAAGTCTAATCGTGTTTGTGTTCATTTATTGCCATTTGAGAATGTGCTATGTTTTAAATATAATTTAAAATCAGATGACCATGTCTTTGTTTCGTACAAAATTCATATTGGTAGCATAAATATTCGAAAAGATCATTATCTAGTTATGTCTATAAATAAAGATGGTTTGCCTATTTTTGGAAAAGTTGAGGCTTTTGTTAATGTAGAAAATTCACTGATATGGCTTGTTGTTGTTTCTTTAATGGAGACTGTAGGATTTGTTGACCATCTTTTTTCTTATGAAGTTAAATGTTATAGTGATGAGCATTTCAAAATCTTAAGTTTTGATACTTTACTTGACCAGCATCCACTTTCTGGATATGTTATCAGCTGCACAAGTTTAAACGAAATTTTAAATAAGAAATTTATTCGTATGCTTTATAAATTGTTTTAGACCTATTTATTAAATTGCTGTGTGCATCAATAGATAACTTTTATTTTAAAAAGTATTTTTTTCTGTTGTCTTTTTTTTTGTTAAAAAAGTTTATTTTGACTTAATTAACTTTAACTTTTTTTTAAAATTTTTTTAAAAACAGTTCTATTACACACTAATTAATGATTAATTTTTTTATTTTTGTAACTAGTTTCAATTAGTAACAATAACTTTATTTAAAAGAAAAATGAATTCATTAAAAGAAAAGCTATGTGAAGTACTAAAAGTCGACAGCTTGCCACAAGAATTAGTAATCAAACTATTAGGTATTTATATATAAGTTTTAGTGTTTATTAGAAAAAAAAGTTTGTTGATCTTAATAAAAATTTTTATAATTTTTATAATTTTAGTTTTTCTAATCAATTAAAAGAAATGTAATATGTATATTCTAAAATTTGTTCTAGAAGAAGCAATGGATCTCAATTCCTTTGTACTAGTTAATGAAAATGATTTGGTTGAATTAGGTTTTAAAATGGGACAGAGAAAACTTATCATGCAGTGGTTGCAGTCATGTGCAGTTTTACCTGTAGTTGGTTTTATGCAGCATCAAGCTGAATTGTCACCAGCGTTAAACTTAATAGCTGCACCAATTCAGAGAAATATTTCAATCCCACCCTCTAGTAATGTATAGACTTTTTTATTCAAAGTATTTGTTGAAGGCAGAATCATTACTATATGATCCATCATATGTTTTTTTAATTAAATAGATATATCCTGTAAAAGAGGTACTCTGTAAGAATGACAACAGTTCCGCAAGTGTTCACGGACCAACACTTGTGACAAAGTTGTTAAGCGGTGAAATATATTCAACACAAGAAAGACACTTTTTAGTGCGAATTTTAGGCCGATATCTTATGGAGGTTGCAAAAGTGTAAGTAAATTAGTATCATTATTTTGTCTTTTTGTATTTGTTAATATGTTTGTTTTAGTTTCATAATAAATCTTACTTTATTCAGAAAGGATATGCCCTCAAAGGAGGAATAATTAGCTATGGCTGTTTCAATAGTTACAGTTTTCCCTTGTCTAAAAAGTAAATTTACGGAATCTGGTCACGTAAGTGTTTTTGGATTTATTAGGTTGTTTCATTAAAATGTGAATTATTCTATGCGTTAACAATATTTTGGATTTTCTGTTAAAGAAAATTGTATTTTATACATTTAGGAGCATTTTTATTGTGGAAAATCTCATACTGGCCACATTGAGATTTATGTTAGACAAAGACGCTCAAGGTCTAAACATATAATCACAAAGTGGAATCATAGGAAAGGAATGTAGGTTTTATTATTTATTAAAAAAATTTTTATCATGAATGATTGTGTCAATATTTTTATGATTCATTGCTATTATTAGACCACCTTGTCGAGAACTTGTTGGTGATGAAAATTTTGAAGTTGAACGTATACTCCGAGAACGTCGTCCAACAGTTCTTAATCAAGAAGAGTTGCTGCACATGATGGCAGAGACTAGAATTTTTCGAAGAGATTGGATCTTAAACACTAAACCAAATGCTACTCTTATCCTGAAAAGATATCCGAGGTTTTTGGATATGAATGAAACTGTAAGTTATTTATTAAAATTCAAATTTAAGTTAGTCTACTAAAATCTATGCTGCGCTTATATTTGCATGTGCTTTTTGAAGTTAATCCAAAAATCCAAGGTGTGTTTTAATTTTTATTATGTTCTTGTTTAGATACGGCAAGAGTTTTCGTTTTTAGTTGGAAAGTTTAAAGATATGCGAAATCAATGGACATTATGCAGAGATGTAATTTTACAACTTGCAGTAACTGCTTCTGTCAAAGACGAAGATTTAAAAGAAGAGTTATTTTGTATTAGTGCTGTTGAAAATGAGTTTGATGAAGGTTTTAATTAAATTATTAATTGAAGCTTTTTTTTTTAAATGTTTTTTCATATTAAAAGTAATGAAATGTAATATAATTATCAAAGCTTTTTTTTTTATGTTTTTTAATATTAAAAGTAATGAAATGTAATATAATGATAAATACAATGAAAAGGTTTTTTTTAATTAGCAAAAAAAACTATCGTATCTTTTAAAGCACTTCCTTATTTATTGCCATCTCCACCAAAGAGAGGAAAGAAGGAACCTAGGAAGTCTGGAAAAGCAACATCGATGCGTTTTATTGTTGAACTTGAGGTTATTATTAAGTTATTTGTTTCTTTTCTAAAAAATTTATTTCTGATGATTTTTGATATTTCTGATATTTTTTCATTACTGGATTTAAAAATAATAATTTATCCAATCCAGGCGAGTTTTGCAAAACAGTTGCATTCTTCCAAATACTAATCTAAAATTTGGAAAACTTGTGGAACTTTTAACTTAATTGATATAACTTGTAAAATTCAGGGAATTCTCTCTTTTATAGGATTTTATTGCGGTTTTATTAAACCCCTATCAAATATTTTTATTATAACTTTGTACTAACGCTCTTATGCTGAATCTAATCTGATATAACTTAATTTTGAATTTGAATTGCTGTATAAAATCATCAGTGCAGTAGCTTCATTAAGTTCCACACAATTACATAAAATAATGTGGAAATTCAAATAGATTAGACACAACAAAAGAGCGAATGTATTAAGTTATCCTAAACCCTAGGTTTAAAATTATGCCGAATATTACTTTTTTCTAGAATATGAGCGTTGATGCTGCTATTGAAGTCTTAAATCTAGATGGGTGCAAGCAGCCGTTGATTTTTATACTAGGAACGGCAGTGTACATTAAAGTGGATTTAAATGCCATATTGGTTGAAGATGCCGATTCTTTTCCCGAGGTGGTATTACTTCTTTTGGCAACGTTTTACGTTTTTGACCTAGAGTATCCGGATGAATTGCGAGTTTTATTTTCGTTACTTGAAAAGATTTGTGGCATTCCAGCAACAGTTAATAGCTCAGTTGCCAATGACTTTTATAGACTACTGAACCTTGAGTAAACTTATAAGATAATATTAAAACCAAAATAATATTTGTTAATGTTTTTAAAAACAATATTAATTTTTACAGTATTTTCTATGTTTATTTGACTTTGGCATTCTATAACTCCGTGTAAATTTTCTAGAGTTAAGTTATAAAAAAATAAAAATTATAGATCATGTTAAATTTTTTTTTTGAGAGAGAGTTCGTTAAATATTTTTTAGTTAACTTGCATGCTACTATATATATATATATATATATATATATATATATATATATATATATATATATATATATATATATATATATATATATATATATATATATATATATATATATATATATATATATATTAACTATTATATATATATATATATATATATATATATATATATATATATATATATATATATATATATATATATTTATATATATATATATATATATATATATATATATATATTATGGTGTTTATGATAAAATTAACATTAAATCTAAATTAATCGGCAAAAAAAACTCAAAAAAGCAACAATAATGTAGATTTATTAGAACACGCTACATTTAATGTAGCGTTTTTGTCTACATAATGTACGCGAGTGAAACTTCTACATTCAATGTAGATAATCAAAAAACTACAAAGTTGTAGATAAAAAAGCAACACTATTTGTAGATATAATGCTACATTAATGTAGATTTTTCCGCGTCTACAAGTAGTGTAGACTTTTTATCTACATAAATGTAGGTGAGTGAAACATCTACATTTATTGAACGCAAAATGGCTACATTTTGTAGATAAAAAGATTACACTATTTTTGAGAGTGTGCTTCTCTTTATCGTGCTTGCAATTTTCTGTTTCCTGATTCCATTTTCTTGAAGCTTGAGCCTCTTTCCTATCGTTGTAATGACTTTTTTGACTCTTCACTCATCAAAATCTTATTCTTTTACTGTATTTGTCCCTGCATGCTCTAAAAAATTTTATTTGTCTAGTTTTTTCCCCGCATTTAAACCGTTCGGAACTCTCCCAACTTCAGTTTTGCTGAACTTTCAACTTTTTAAGTCTTAAATCTGTCAACCGTTTGATTGCTCTATAATTCTATTATTTTTTTCTAGTAACTTCCAACTTAATAGTGGTTGCTTGCAGATTTGAATTGGAATTAAAAAAAAAAAGATCTTTTTTTCAAAAAAAAAAATGGATTTCCGAGCTTTTTAAAAGGCCGGAAAATGTCCCGACATTGTATTCCAATAAATGTGTTTTACACCGACAAAACAAATGTTCAAACAAAATTTCTTACGGTATATTGAAAGAAACATAAATATAAGTAAAGATAACTTCTTTTATAGAAAATTACAATCTCAAAAATCAGTTATATTTTATAGAACAAAGTTCAAGCTACACTTTTGTTCAAGATAAGACAAATTAGACTTTATGATCAAAGGTTAAAGTCATTTTTCGAAGTTTTCACAAACAACCCCGGGGCGCAGAACTATATGATTGTTTTTTTTTTTTTCATCAAAACATATTTTAAAATAAATCAACTAAGAATGATATTAAATTTTGTCGTTATGAAGTTTTTTTTACGAATATTTTCCATATTATATTTATGTAATTCTAGCTATTATAAGAAAAACGAACTAAAATCCTAATAAAAACAATGCATATTCAAAACAACCGAAAAAATGTGACAGTTAAAGGTTTAGTTTAAATTGAAATGTTAAAGTTTTTCGTTTCCTTTTATCTTTTTTTTTTCCACTCAGTATATATCAACCTCCAATAATGTTTTTAGGGTGCAAAAAAAAAAAAAAAGCAACATCTAATGGTTAAAGTAGATAAGTAGTTGGAAGACCTGGAATACAGATAAATGCGATATCATACTCTTCACACGCATTTAGCACTTTTTCAAAGAAGCGTGATGATAAATTGTCACCAATGACAATTGTATTTACTTCTTTTTGTGTATATATGGAATAATGATTTGGAAAAATCAATCTTTAAAGTAAAAAGTATTAAACCACCCACTTTTACTTCTGTTATAAACAGTTTTATCAAGTAAATTTTCCACCAAGTTTCCCACAAATTTCTTATTTAAAAACAATGCAAAAGGGTAAAAGAGTACCATTAGCAGTTCCAACAAACATTAAACTTTTTGAGGTTTTAGAATTGTTCAGAATTTTTTCTGGATATCTAGTGCTTTGTTTAAAAATATATTTTTTGGCTCCAGGATTTTTGCTCAAGTTAGTCTCATCATAGTTGATGTAGTCAGGTAAAACATTTGTCATTTTTCAAGATTATCAATTATCAGTTATACTCGATGAAGTTTTTGCTCTACCTATGGCTATATTGGTTTCATATCTACTTAACAAAACATGTTTGTTATGTTTTAAAAACTTATTACCCATTCTTTTCCTGGATGGTTATCTTTTAGAAAATATACTTTCTTTCTATTCTTTTTCAAATATCTTTGAGCCATATTTCTCAAATCTAATAAATCAAATGGAAATTTCCACTCACTGGTAATTTTAAACTAAACACCTTAGATCAACCTGCTGTTTTATGACCAGTTTTCATTCTATAGTTTCTACTTAAAGTAGAAATTTGAATTTTTTTTATTTATTTAAAGATTCAAAGAGTGAGTGTTTTGCACTAAATAAACAGCCTTTTGCAGATAGTCTTTATTATAACTGTTGTATCCTTTGAATACTTTGACATTTCAGACACATCTATTTTATATTTTTTGACCATATATTATATGCTAAATTAAATGTAATATATGTATATATGTATATGTATATATATATATATATATATATATATATATATATATATATATATATATATATATATATATATATATATATATATATATATATATATATATATATATATATATATATATATATATATATATATATATATATATATATATAATATTTTGAATGTAAAAGTACAACATTTTACATTCAAAATTTAAAGATTGAGGTGGAATTTCCAAAAAACCCAAATATGCTTTCCAAATAGCATATTTGGAAAGCATATTAATCTCAAAATATTTTTTTTTTTGTCAAAATTGTTATAAATTTTTAAAAATAACAGTTTTTAAAATATTAATTTTTCTTTATTTATTGCTTAGTAATTTTTTTAAATTAAAAAGTATGGTTGTTTTACTCGCAAGTTTTAACTTAATACAGATTAATATCCCTATTACTATTTTATTTTAACAACAGACAAGTATTTTAATAAAAATATTTCAAAAATAACTACTTAATCTAAAGAATATTTAAATGATTAATTGTAAATTTTACTTTTATGGAATTAATTTTAGATTATTTTTTAACTTTGTATTTTTTGTGATGATAGATTTTTAATAAATTTTTTAAAAAGAAGGTTAATAATCAAAATTTTATTAATTAATATTTTATTTATTATTTATAAACTATATAACAACATGTTTATTAAAATATACTAATATATTATTCTACATTATTATATTATATAATAATGTAGAATAATATATTAGTATATTTTAATAAACAAAAGTTATTTATACAATGGATGATCTTTTGCTTGATCCAGCTATCCGTATATGGGTTATAGTACCTATTGTCCTCATCACATTTCTTGTTGGTGTAGTCAGGCATCATGTCTCCATACTACTGACATCACATAAAAAGATAGATGTAGAGCATTTAAAACAAAGGTAAATATAAATTCTATATAATAAATCAATATTCAAATTCAAAAAAACAAGAAAAAAAGGAAGAGATTTAATTAATAAGCTGAATGTGTTATCTTTAAGCAAAAGCGTAATTTTTTCCTGAAAGCAGACTTTTGTGAACCATTAGTTAAGAATTTTATAAAAAGATTTACTTTGCATGATTAAAGTCTGGCTTGTATTGGAATAAAAAGGAGAATGAATAAAAATAACATATTGAACATTTATAATATATTTAAGCCTTCCCGTATAACATTTTAAAATTATGTTACGTCTCAATTGGTTACAATTGGTAACAAGATTACATTCTTTAATTTAATGTAAAGTAAATAAACTTGATAATGCAGTAAATGTTTGTTTATTGTTGCCATATTACTAGTTATCATCTTTTATTTTATTTTTTATTGTAAAATAGCTTCGTTTCAATTAGTAACTTTGTCTCAACAAAAAAAAGTTTTAATTGGAAACCTTGCGTTTTTTTAACTTTTTATTGTGAAACCAATTTAGACATAACATAATGTAACTAAATCTAGATTTGAGATGTAACTAAAATATATATCAAATATAGATTATTATTATTTTTTGACACTACGTATGTTTCAATTTATTACACTTAAAAATGTAAAAAAAAAAAAAAAAAGACCAAATCTAATGTAAAAAAATTTATGTTTTTGACATATTTTAATAACGTTTCAAGTTTATAAATGTTCTACATTACCTTAAATTTCGATTGGTTACACTTTTAGAGATAATAAAACAAATAGCTAAGATTAACCTTAGATTGCTTAAGTACCATAGTTACTTTAGCTTTTAAAGGTTTTTTTTTAAGTTTTATGTTACATTGTTTAAGCTTTAAAATTTTTATTTACCTTTAAAAAGTGTTTTTTTTAAACAAACCCACAAGCTTGTGGATTAGTTTTTAAAGAAAACTTTTTAAATTGCAATAGTTTTGATGAACCTATTAATGTGTTTACAATATTGTTAATGAATAATATTGTTAATAAAATTTTTTTGTTAAATACCGTTAGTCATTTATAAGTATTTAATAATGCATTTGTAACTAAAAAGTTTTTTTTTTTAAAACTACAAAATATCATTTTTCATTTTTATTGTAAAATAAATTTGTTTTAATTATTTTATTTATTTTTTGTTACTAATTTGTCAAAAAAAAAAAAAATAAAAAAAAAAAAAAAATAAAGTTTCAATTTGTGAAGTTATATCTTAATTTTTTTTTTTTTTTAACTTAAAAAAGTGCAACTTTTAACTATTTCTTATATCTAGATTTTGTAACATTACATTACGTTATTTTTTTGTGAATAATACAAGCGTAATACTTTTTTTAATAAATTTTTATAAACCTGCAAGCAAAAGAGTATACAAAATATCAACCTTTCTAATGTTTTTATAATACTAATTAAACACATTAATTAGTTGCAACCGACTAAATGTTTATTTTGCACAAATTTAACATATAGTGCAATATCTGTACGCTTTCTTTAAACTATCTTTCTAACTCAACTACTTCTGACTTTCACAAACTCATATTATCTATTTTCATATATATATATCATATGTATATATCTAATATAGAGAAAAAAACATTAAATTAGAAAGATATAAATAGGTTGCAATGTTACATCTCATTAGGTCAAAATGTTACATCTCGTTACATAATAAGTTAAGTTTTGGTTATGTAAAAATAATGTTGTAACAAATCTCGTTTATGTTATATATTTATAATATGCAACGTAACTTTAAAATGTTATAGGGGCTTTTATATCGCATTTTGGAAAGTTCTTAAAGATATACTTTTTTATGAACACCAGCCATCTCTCTGATTTCTATGCATTACATATTGTTAAGTGTTTCATAAGTCATTTGATTTTACAGAAGTTTGCTCTTGCATAACAGTCTTTCAATAACAGTTTTAGTTTTTAGTTTGTTATTAACTGGTTAGTTGATTAGGACTTTAAAGGCAAAGGTAATTTTTCTTATAAAAGGAACTCTTATAAAACTTAAAATAACTAAAAAATTTATTGATAGGGTGAGTTCATAGACCTTTAATGATTTTTGTAGTGATGGCATCATTTTAAAATTATATACCTATTATATATAGCTATACCTACTAACTATTGTATTATATTTGTTTACAATATAAACCTATATGTATAAAAAATAAAAATAAACAATATACTTGTTATTACAAAACATTATATTATGAACTGAAAGTAATTAACATTAACTTATATTTGGTTTTGCTTCTCACTTCATTTAATAAAGTTTTTTTTGTATCTACAGAGTATTTAAAAAATTGTTTTTAAAATTATACTGTACCATCAGAAAATTTACTGATTCTAACTATAGTTTATTACTCTTATCAGTCCTACTCCTAATTTTGCTTAATTTCTTTCTAAATTTGATTTATTTGCTGTAGTCGCAAAAATAAAAGAACATTTCTTTTGGAATTCTAAAAATGTTGTTTTATTTCTTCAAAATATTATATCCATGTTAAACTAGCTGACAGTTATGAAAATACTTCTTTGTCTTTTATTTTATCAATAATTTATTCAAATTTTTAGTTTAATCAAAAGTCAGCAAGTCTTTTATATCTAACCTTTTTTCTGAAAAGTATATTATAAATTTTTTGATGTTTTCCAAGTAAGTTTGTTCCAATAACACTATAGGTTTAAAAATAATGTATCTTTTTGATATAAGTTTACCAATTTTATGGCAATTATTAAACTTGCATTTTTTTCATTTTTTACTATATTTCTCTCCTGTAATGGTAAAAATTATTTTTCTTTTCTTACTGTCAAATTATCTTCAACTGTTTTTTACTGCCAATGGTAATGTAAGTGTCATTTAATGGGTTTCAAAAAATTTTGTTATTATTAAAGAGGGTTGTTCTTGATTTAGACTCATATCAATTAATAAGCTGTCAAGCCCATGATAAACAAGTTAATGTAAAATATGGGCTGGACTACTTATTTCAATAAGGTTGTCCCTAAAATTATGTTTTAAATGTTTAGAAATATTATTGCTCCTTCTCCTATTAATACCACTAAAATTTATATTACCATTATCACCCAAAAATGTTATGGATTTATTTTTTTAAGTTTATCTTTTCTAGTGTTTGTATTAATGGCTTTCTTATTGTAGAAGAAAGCTATAAAAAACTGAATTATTATCAGAAGTTTTTTCTAAAAAAAATTGATAAAGCTCAATTTAAAAGACTAATTAATAGATTTGAAATCATATAAAAAAGATGTTTGGATTTCAAAATTTACAACTTAACAGCCAAACTAGAAAACTTGGGGGAAAAAAAGGAAAAGTTTACAGTAGATTATAATTAGGTTAAATTTTCAAAAGAAAGATCAAATTATATTTAAAGCATGGTATATTATTCCTTAGATATGTAACCAACTTATGCTGCTAGCATTTGAACTCTAGACAACCTTCTTATCTACATATTAATAGCCTTAAAAGTTATTTAAAACTAAAGAACTCAAATTATGAACTTGGTGTAAAACAGTCTGGTAATAAATTCATTTACAAAAATCTCACTAATGTTTTTGTTAATTTTGTGTTAAACTACTCCCTTTATTTATTTTTTATTTACTTAGCAATATGTAACAAAAATTATAAAAGACATTTAAAATTTTTATTAATATCACAAAATGATAATTTTTATGAATATCATAAAATGATAATTTTTATAAATATTATAAAATGATAATTTTTATGAATATCATAAAATGATAATTTTTATGAATATCATAAAATGATAATTTGATAAAATGATAATGATCTACAGAATTTTTTACACTGCTGGACCCTTGGAAAAAAAAAAATAAAAAAAATAAAATTAGAGGCTCTTTATTTAATGAAAATTATTTTATTTGAGAAATTTATTAGTTTTAAATCAAGATATTAAATTACATTGATAAACTTGTTCAAAACAATCTTTTTCTTGCTTTTTCATTTGCGAATGCAATTATCAAATTGTCACAAATTAATTTCCTTAATTTATCATGATTAATTGACATAATTGCCTAACTTTTAAGCATAATTTGACTCATGGGATTATGCAAATATTTTTAAATTAGTTTCAAATTTAAAAAAAAGCGTTTAGCAGAACAATTAGTTACCATTAAGCATAAGAAAGTTTGCAAAACTGTTTCAGTGTTTGGAAAAATAGGGATTAAAGGGTAATATAGTAATTTTGTACATTTTTGTATGAGTTTATTTGTCTGTATTATATATATAGGCCAATAGTTTCTTTCATTTACAATTTGACTTTGTAATTTACTTCCAAGGCAATATTATGCATTCTATGCTCTGCAGAACATTTTTCATCTGATACATTTATTCAGACTTTAAATCCAGTTGTAGCCAATAGTACTTGGGAAAACAGTTTACACATAAAACAAAAAAATAGCTCCAACAGACAGTGAATACAGTAACCATTCTTGCTTCAAAAGATTTGCCATTAACTTTCCTTGATGAAAAACAAGATATGTTGTAAAAACAGTTTGTATCTTTCTATGACTGTAGAGTAAAGCTCTTGTTGAGTAAAGGCTAGAGATAGTGTCTCGATAAAAATACTCATCTTGGGCAGATGTTACATGCATTCGGCTGCTGTCTTGTAGAAGGCCTCCTAGGCAAAGACTTAATGGGTAAACAGATTCTATCTGTTGACCAGCCTCACACCCCTTCCTCATCTATTAGGCTGGCGCAGATGTATTTTTAATACATTGTTTCCCGTTTAGGATGTTGAACGCTGGATCTTCTTGACTCGATTCATGGGTTTTGCTTGTGTCTCTGTTTTTATGACTAGGCAACTCATTCTATTATCTCCAAATGAGGGTACAGCTCTAAAACTCAGTTTTATGGTTCTGAGGCCGGCTGGTAGTCAGGTTTCCCGAACTCTGTGGTAGCTCTCAGAGAGGCTGATTCCATCAACAGCTGAAAAATATCAGAGTACT